AGCTGAGAGCGGTTGAAGGAATGTTCGGATCAATACAGGATGTACAATGTAAACATATTCCATTACGAGGAACTCCTTCATATAACATGTTAAAGGACAAGACTAGCAGATTCTATATTTTTGTTACTGCAAGCAATTCATATAAGTACCAGAAATAAAATAACTGTTTGGCTCACAGTTGTGGATTTCTCCTGACTGACTGCCTGCCGCTCTATTTAAAGCTTAAATAATGTCCTAAAATAGCTGGGGTTTGTTATTTTTGGTTAACATCACTCAGACAGAAATAGACCTTGGCTACTTAGACAATCAGTGGCTGTAGGCACTTTTCCTTGTTGCTTTGGGTCTTTGAGATTTTTTAACAAAAAAAGAAACAATAGTTCCAGATATGTACTTCAAGAAGAGCATAATTATTAGCAGTACAATGTCCTGTTTCATGCATATTATATGATTATTTTCATGATTATGTTGCAGCTGGTTTAGTTGGAACTCAGTTTAATCTATATACTGTTTGGTAGATTAGCCTGTAGACCGGTTTTATAAGCTTATCATTTGTTTTGCACGGTAACTACATTTCTTAAAATGAATGTCATCGAGTGAAAACAGTAGTGGAAAAGGTGTTCAGATAAACAAGCGCCTCAGAACTGTACATCAGTCAGTCGCAGATGACGCATTGTGATCCTTTATTTAACTAAAAGCACCACTAGAACCATGTAGGAATACTGCCATTAGAAATCCTACATCCAGCACTGCACTTCTGTAAAAGCACTGAGATATTATCAGGAAAATGATAAAAAGCTGACCATTGCGTAAAAAAGAACACAAGTCTGAGGGTTTGTGAACTGTGTTTACCCCATTAGGAATCATATTTGACCAACTATACATCATTTGATAGCACAAAGACTGAGAACTCAAACAGTGTAAATCATTTTCAGATACCAACACCACAGCAGTGATGGCTGCTTTGTTTGTATTAGTAAGTTTCTTCCCTTTTCTGTTATCTATTAGGGCACATTGTTGGACTGCTAAGCGCTGCACCCTGTTCTCACTGAGAGTCCAACAAATGATTGTTGTCACTGCCATGTTATCCTTCGATTATTATCTCTGATAATTGATTTGTTGTTTGGTCTATAACGTCTAAGAACATTGTAAAAAAATGGTGATCAGTGTTTGCCAAAGGTCAAGCTGACATCCTCAAATGTTTTGTTGTGGCCACAACCCATAGATATTCAGTTTACTGCCAGAGAGGAGGACAGAAGCGACACTATATTCTAACTTAGGCAGCTGGAATCAGGGGATATTTACTTTTTTTTTTTTTTTTTTAATCTAATTATCAAAACAGCTGGCATTTAATAAATCATTGCAACTCTAGTGTTCAACCAAAATGAATTTCAAATGTTTCCAGGATTTTAGTCTGTTTCTGTGTATATAGGGTGGGATTTAAAGGGAGAGGTTAAAAGAAAAGTTTTGCTACTTAAATCTGTATCTCTGTCTTGCTCTTTTTGTGGATGTTTCAATCTGCCTTGAACAGATAATTTAATGAAACTGTCTTTGTTGGAACAGCTGGCAACAATTCTCAGACATCTACAACAAGTGGCTCTGAGGAGACACAAGCGCTAAAATGTTTGGAGGCTGCCAGATCATTCTTTAAAAGTCTAATTTTTTTGATGTAAGATGTTTGTCTGAAATATTCCTTAGTAAGTGCAGCTGTGAAATAAATGTAATGTAATGTAAAAGTACGGTCATATTCTCTTCTTGAAATGAAGTGGGGTAAAATGATGTAACTTCATTGAATGTGCTTAGTTCCTTCCCACTACTGGAGGCAGGACCACTGTTTCATTCTGGACTAGTTCTGTCTCTGTGTCTGTCTCTCCAGTATAGGTGGGTGGTGAGTGCTATTTTTGCTCTGTGATGGTGTAGAACCAATCAGACTTGCATGTTGGACGTCTGGAAAGCAATAAATGACTCCAGGCTGTCCTGTCACGCTGCTTAGCGCTGACTTGTACTTCGGGATTAATCGGATGGTTTTTAGCAGGATATAGGTGCAGGATAATGATTCATCACCAGGAAACTGCAAGAGAAATATGTAACCACTCTGAGAGAACGAGAGCAGAAAGGTTCAGATGGAGTAAGTTAAAGAGAATGAAGGACAAAGAGGGTTTTGTATCTCACTTGCTTACGCATACTGGTACGACTGTTTGTTTGGATCCTAATGGTGTTCTTGTGATTTACACAAGATTCTGATTCTGAGAACCTTAAAACTGACCTTTTCAAAGGAAGCAGGCTTTCGTAATGGTCAGAGGTCACAAGGGAGGATATAGTGGTAAATGTCCTTCTGAGCTGCCATTTAGGGGCACAGCATCGTCTTTCTTTGTGGCTCCATCTCAGCTTGAGGGAAGCAAGTTAATCACAGATCAGCACAGTGACTCTGAGCAGAAAAATGAATACAGTCCCAGCAGCAGAAGAGAAAAAAAATGACCCGTTCTGTTGCTTAAATTAATGTCTTTGTATTATCTCATGTCTCTGATAGCAAAAGCAATAAAAAAAAAAAGCATTCTGTTCGAACCGACACATGGTAATCGGCTCAGACAGTCTTTTATTCGCACCGTCAGTTTCCTTTTAAAAAAGGCATGAAAAGAAAGAAAAGGTTTTCAATCATATTCTTGTACACGCTGATGTGCCTCCGTGTAATTTTAATCAGGTTGCTCTTGTGCTAATTTGACTTTTAGAATAGATTTAATTTTTTGATTATTTATTATCTGCAACTTTTATGAAAGGCATTAAAATACAAACAAGCGTAGATAAAACAGCGGTTCGAACATGTAAAGCAGGAGTCGATAATGATTGTCGCTGTGACGGAAAGACATGAAAAACTGATGATTTGAATTCTTTAGATTATTTAAATTAGTTTAACCATGTAAAAGCAAATGTTTTTTTTTTTTTTGAAGCCTCCCTCCTCACTAGGAAAAACAAACATGTTCAGATCATGGACGGTGCTCATGGTGTGGTGGTTACCAGGGAAGTCAATCCCACAACTCTGACCGCCTCAAATTGAGAAGGAGAAACAGAAGAACATGGAACAATGGACCCTTGTGGAGTTGCTGATGGGCTCATGGGAGTTTGACCATCCAGTCCACATGTGTTTTATTGACTTGGAGTAGGCCTATTACTGTGTCCTCTGGGGAACCCTGTGGGGGATCCTGTGGGAGCACAGGGTACCGATGATGTTGCTGTGAGCCATCCTTGGAAAGCCAAACTGAGACTTGGGCTCATTAGTATTCTCTGCAGGTGGGTGTTGGACTCCACCAGAGTTTCGATTTTCTCTGATCTTGTGTGCGACATTCATGGACAGGATCTAAAACCATTGAGTCGCATGTTTGCTTTTTCGTAGACGACATGGCTCTATCGCCTCCATCGTGCCGTGACCTTCAGAACACACTGAGTTTGTTTGCAGCTGAGTGGGAAGAGACAACGATGAAAGTCAGCACCTCCAAGCCTTAGAGCATGGATCTCGGCTGAATATCGGTGGATTGTTTCATCTGGGTTGTGGGGGATGAGTTGCTGCCCCAAGAGAGGGATTTGAAGAATCTTGGAATTTCATTTACAAATGAAGGGAAAATGGAGCGTGAGATGGATGTGTGGATTGGTGTAGCATTAGCAGGAATGCAGGTGTTGTATTGGACTGTTATGGTCTACGTTCCAACCCTCACCTACAACCGTGAGCTCTGGTTAGCGACAGAGAGAGTGAGGATGTGAAGCAGCCAAATTTAGTTTCCTTCTTAGGATTGCTGGGCTCAACTTTAGTGATATTGTGCTCAGTTATCCAAAGGGAGCCTCAGAAGGAGCCAGTTGAGGTGATTCTGCATCTCATTAGGATGCCTCCTGCTCACTTTTCCTTCAGGGGGCTTCTGGGCACATTCGACTGAGATAAAACTCCAGGGTAGACCCAGAACTCAGTAGGGGGATTACACATCTCATCTGGCCTTAGAACGCCTCAGGAATCCCCCAGGAAGAGCTGGAAAGCGCTGCTGCTGAGAGAATTTTCAATAAAACTTCCAGTGTGTGCCACCAATCTACACATTATAAAACCCCGGGACAGAGACAGAACTGTTGTCAGATGGTAAAGTGAAAATTAAATATTTGATGTAAATATTTATTTACTTATATTACAAAGGAATACTGAAATGACATGTACACTTAGGAGAAGAATAACAGTTTCAAACAAAAATGATCAAAACTTCGTCTTTTCTGACCCCACTAATATTTTAAAGAGTTCCCAAGAAATAAAACAAGAAACAGCAGAAATAAACGTATTTCTCATTTTAATCTTTACATAAAAACAGAACTCTGGCATAAAAGTATTTCGTTTTTGCTCCATTTTCACATAAATGTATTTGCCATTTGGATTGACCGCTTTGAAATTAACTCCTACAAATATCTATAAATGAATAAGGCCTGATGAAAACAGCCTTTCTACTGAAAGAACAATAAGTAGTCATCAAGAAACAGCCACCACCCCACCATTAGTAACTGCAGAAACAATAGAACAAATGACCCTCTTTACACACTCACGTGCATGCAGCTCCTCACATACACTCCCATGAACTGCCCTGGGCCTTTACTACTCAGAAGACCGAAGAAGGGGGGAAAGAAGTTCTAGTAATCTCTTAAATACACCCACTTCTTTCTCTCCTCCCTCGACTTTCTCCCCTCTTCATTCAGTCCCACTGTGCCGGCTCAGACCAGGAGGCAGACCTTCACATGTAAAGTGAAGCTGTGGGGATCTTGGACTCATTGCTCAGCTATGCAATAGAGAAGAGGATTAGCTCGGCCTGAGCACCAGTGCAAGGACTTGGCAGTTGGCCATTTATCCATCCCCTGGCCGACTGAGAGAGACACCGCCGTGCGCTCCCTTTGTTTTCTCTTTCCACCTAAACATCCTCCTCACTCCCTTTTTATTTTCCCCTTTTTCCCTCCGCCCCCTCTTTCCTTCTTTTTCAGCCATGACCCTGTTATCAGAGGACCAGTCTGTAAGGCCCCAACCCTGCCGGCTCCCGGAGCCTGGCAAAGACGTTAACACTTCCCTGCTCCAGCACTCAACAGACTACACTGGCTCCAAAGAGGACTACATGGAGAGCGGGGAGAGCACCGTGTTCGGAGCCGTGGAGCCCCCCAGACGCTCGCGGGGTCGACTTATCCTCCACGGTTTGGTTATGTTTGGAAGGGAATTCTGCTACGCCGTGGAGGCAGCGTTCGTCACACCAGTGCTCCTGAGCGTGGGCCTCCCCCGCAGCCTGTACAGTCTGGTGTGGCTCATCAGCCCCATCCTGGGCTTCCTGCTCCAGCCCATCATCGGCTCGGCCAGCGACTTCTGCCGCTCATCGTGGGGCCGGCGGAGGCCTTACATCCTGGTCCTGGGCATCCTCATGCTGATAGGACTCACGCTGTTCCTTAACGGAGATGCAGTCATCTCAGGTGAGAGATGGATGGGGCAATTTGAGGGAGAGGAGACAAAACCAGAGGGGGGAGGTACAGCGATGTCTGTAATGTTGTATCAGAGAGTGAGTTCTGCTTTTGGGGCTGAGAGTGGCTTCAGCTCAGAAGTAATACGACAGAATGCATAGTCAGAGAAACTCAAATACTGTAGACGATTATTAAAAAAAACTGGGCTCACATAGAGAAAGATGCAAAGCAAACGTATAAATGTTTAACTTATTCTCCTTAAATGTCATTGTAGCCCCTCATCAGCTTTACCTGCCATACAGGTTTATAATCTAATGTACTAGACTGGCTGTTCTTGTGGGTATATGCCATATCTTAAACATAGAACTTTTACAGTCTCAGGATGTAAACTGATAGTTTCTTCTCACTTACAGATTTAGCACAAAAAAAAAACACAGACACATTCATCAAAACAGAAAAAGACTGAACTTGTAAAATGTGTCGGCAGAAGTCATCAAGAAGCTCTTATTCTCACATTTTTAACTTGTGACTAAAGTGAAATGTGTGGCTTGTTCAAGTGGCCCTGAGCCAATGCCCACTGGCACAGAGAGATGATAAGAGAAAATGTCATTGAGTTGAGAGCGTTTCATTTGAAGACGAAGAACTCTCTGCTCAGTGAGCCAGCGCTGCTTTATTGTTCACATGGAACCAGTGAGGGGTTAAGTGCACATTCGCTCCTGATTTTTCCTGTTGAAATACGCAATTATCCCTTAAATCATATTTCTTGATTGAAGGCTAATGACAGTAATCACCGAGGAGGACGTACTTGTAACAGCCTGCTACACATTCAAGTGAATAGTGAGAACATTCAGTGACTATGTATAGTTCAAGACTGCTAGTGTAGGTTGCCTGTTTTCTAATGAAATAATACGCTTATACAAGTGAAATAAGGCCGTAAAGTGTATTTATTCTGAGTTTGGTTTGTAAGATGTACGTCTTAGAAAGTGCTGAAATCAGCTCAGCGCAGTGCTGTGATTGCATCTGTTAGTTAAGTTCCCTTTTTTTAAAAGTATTGCATTCCTCTGACGTACGCTGGATAAGCCGATTACCTGCCCGTGGTTCTCAGGGTTGTAGTAAATGCCGCGGCAATCCTGTGACATAATGTTTGTATTGTTGTACTGTAACCATCCTCTTATAGATGAACAGCTTCACTTCAACCCCCACAACAGTGTCCTTTGGACTTTAAATTGTTTTGTTTTTCTTTTTGTTTAGTAGCCAAAAAAAAAAAAAAAGGCAATTTCAGACTTTACGTAAAACTGAGCACCATGTTGAATTTCTCTTTAGTTTTTATTAGACTTAGATTGTTTCTTCCTTTCAAAACACAATCAGTTGTCTCACCTGAGTTATAAAGAACACTTCATTATGCTCTAATTACACATAATTAGAGTAATATTGTTGTTGCCTGTCAAATCTAATTGGATTTCTTGAAGGAGCAACATTTCTTTCTTTCTTTTTTTTTTCTTTTTGGACAAGCTCTCAGTGCCTTTCAGTGGACTTTTCCTCTGTTAACTCTAATGTGTGTATTGGCAAATTAAACTTGCAAATTTGACAGCTAAGGTTCCTTAAAATTAATTTATTGATGTGATCCGTGCACTATTTTTTTTTTTTTTTATTATTCATGCCTCCCTGCTGTACCTGCTGACATGTTTTGCTCTGTTGTGCAGCGCTAGTCACTGACAGGTCACTGAGGAGTACGTGGGCCATCGTGGTGGTGATGTTGGGAGTCGTGCTGTTCGACTTTGCTGCAGACTTCATCGACGGGCCCATCAAGGCCTACCTGTTTGATGTGTGTTCACATCAAGACAAGGAGAGAGGGCTGCACTACCACGCTCTGCTCACAGGTATCTAACACACACACACACTGTTGTCGGTGTTTTTATTTCACGTCTTTTATGTTTACTTATTTATGCTGATTTCTGCCGTGAGTTTTTCTTCGGCGACTGTTTCTCCCTTGATTTGAATTAATCAGCATTTTGGGCGAGTTTTAGTGGGACTTCAGGGAATTTAGCTGAGCAACACAACACTCAGTGATGTTGCATGGCAGCCGATTGTCACTGTGCGAGTGAGTGGGTGGAGTACCGAAGAATGTCTGAACGCTTCAGTGAACAGCATCGCTATCTGTGTGTTTGCATGTAAACTAAGCCAGTGGACCAAGTGTGTGTGTGTCTGTCTGTCCGTAAGTAGGAATGAAAGATGATTTCGTGGGTGGCAAAATACCACTTGAGGGAAGAGTTTAAAAAGTTGGGAGAGATTCTCATTAATTTTCCTACTGAGCTAGATGAGAGTTAGAAGGACTGATACCACTCTCGTCTACTCAGTAGGAGGTGGACAATTGAGGTCATCCTCTCATCTCTCTTGGATTGTTGAGATTTTATCTAAGACACGTCTCTGCTTCTATTCCGAAACCCTCAGATTCAGTTTATCCTTCTGTCCAGTTTATTACCAGTGATAGGTCTCCTGTTCATTATTACATTTTGTATAAAACAGTAAGGTGGCCATCTCTAAGACGTGCCAGACATTGGTTTCTATTTGTTTCTAGAAGCCCTAAATCTCAACTTCTTCTCATCTATCACAACCTTATTAAGTGGTCCTGTAATCATTATTCACCCTGTGATTGCTGCATTAAAATTTAAAGGGCAGCGCACCAAATTAAACACACTTGTGCCTACAGGGCAATTAAAACCATGATCACACCTGCACCACTCATGAAGGCAATGCTTTTGAACTGTTTTATTGTTGAATGCTTTAATCGCACTCTCGACACGAACCAGACCTCACCAAAAAAACAACGGCACTGGTTGCTTGTTTAATGTGGTTAAAACTGTCGATGTTCACGACCTCTTGCAGTTGTGTTGTCGCAAAATCGATCCTTTTCAGACAGCCGAACATATATTTAGTGGGGTGATACTTGTCACCTTGGTAACCCTAAAAAATGGAGGACAGGCTTGTGGCAGAAGGGAGAGTTTTGTCCTGTTACATGTTGTTTATGTGGTGGAAGTGTCTCAGCCTTGGACTCCTGGTCAAGTTCCTCGAGCCACTCCAGAGCAGCTTTAGCAGAGTGGTGGGGCAAATTGTCCTGCTGGGGGAGTCTGCTGCCATCAGGGAGACAGTGTGACATGGGAGGTGTGGTTGGTCTGCAACAATGCTTAGATGGGTGGTACATGTCAAAGTAGCATCTACCTGAATGCCGGGGTTTCTCAGCAGAACATTGCATTGTAACGAGATGATCAATTCTCTTTGAATCGCTTTATCTGGCAGGTTTTATTGTTGTGGCTGGTCGGTGTAAGTTGTTTTCCGCAAACACTCCTGCATGTCGTATTAGGATCCACTGACAGTCAGGTTTAAATTAAGGTTGAATGTCTGTAGAGTGAATGCATAAAGATGTAGATGATTAGCTTCGCATAAAGGCTAAGTGCCCTTACAGCTCACGAACGAATGCGTTGTAAATTGTTTGTTGTGAGTTTTACTCCCTGTTTTCTCAGTCTGTAACTTCACAGACAGCTAGATGAAGTGAGTTATATCTGTTACAGTACGGATGCTAATGTGTACAGTGATGATAAGAAATATAATAAATGTGCAGCATTAGTTTGTGAATTGTATTGACACTACACTGAATACTGCCCTACTGAATACCAAACACTACTTCACACTTCCTTGAAAATGTCTAAATGGTTGCTAGTGGGACAAAGTTGCAGCTTTTTATTATTATTATTATTATTATACATTTTATTTATAAAGCACTTTTTAAAAGGAGATCTTAAGTTGAGTTAAAATCCTCTTTAAAAAGGAAGGTCTTCAAGTGCTTTTTAAAAGCAGCCACTGCATGTGGAGTCCCTGGGTAGCATGTTATTGTTTTAATTTTCCGCTTTTTAGTTTTGGTTCACTCTCATTGCATTACACAGACAGAGAGGGCAGTTGTTTACAGGGGAAAAGCTCTAATAAACTCACTGGACACTGTCATCTCAGTATCCAATATCAGGCAGACACAGTTACCGAACATAGTGTACCATTTAGTAGCTGAAGAAACGGATATTTTCATCAGGAGGCGGTGGAGACCAAAGCAGAGCTAAAAGTAGAGCAAATATCATTCTAACCTTCATCTGCTGGACACAAACCGGACTCCTGATGAACAATCATGTTGATCCATAGTCGCCACATGTGTAAATAAGCAGCTGTTTGCTAATGAGGTAACAAAAAGAGATAAAATATCAGTGTTATGTTTGTGCTTCATTATACTGACTGGCTGACATTACTCTGTGCAAGTCCTCTGCTGTTTTCACACCAAATGTTTTCCACAACATAAAATATGAGTAAAATTATTAAACTGATCTCTAAATACATAAACACTGATCTTGCTAGTGCAGTGTCTCCATGTAAAAATATCCCTCTGTTGGCTTTATCAGCTTAGGATAACTAAACGCAAACAAATGCCCCCTTGTCTAATCGGTCTCTGAGGGTTTACAAAGCAAGTTTGGCTAACTCTTTCCTCCAGGACACGTTTTACTTTGTGGAATTTGTGAGTTTTGGGACAAAAGCCACTTGTTTCAGGTCGTGGCGTGACATCGCAGAAGGGTTTCCATGTGAGCGTTTGGTGGCTTTTTCAGAACTTTAAATTGCATTTCCACACAGGAAACGACTGTTTTCTTGGGTTAACCTGTCTGCACTTCACCCTCAGGTCATGGACATATTGTTGAATGGATAAATGGATTTTCCATTTGTTCTGTCAGGACATAAAGAACATTGTTGCATGTCGTGTAAGGTAGATGCAGCAGAGTCATTCTACAAAAACTAAGCTCTCAGAGACACACAGGATTCGAGATTTCCAAATGCTTCCTGATGGTTTCTGTAGGTACATTCAAGTCTTCCAAATATAGCTGAGGTGAGCAAGCCTGTGTTTACATGTGATATCTGTGACAGCTCCACACCTTGTTCTCAGAGAGTTTTTAGCCAAAGTGCTGCTGATGGACGCATTCAGTGGCAGCTCAGGTTTTTGTTTTTGGTTTTTTCCATTTGAGCAAATATGTCTGATATATTAGATCCCCTTAAACCGTCAAAGCACAAAGTAAGTATTTTTCAGATAAATTGTAATTAGAACCTCTTTGAGAGCCACCTGAAAGAACAGGGAGGAAAGATGGACACCGGTGACATTTAATTTTCCTATATTTCAGCACAGCTCCTCACCCAGCATCTAATCCTTCAGCATTTCAATGATATTTAGTCAGTGCTGGTCCTAGTGAGTGCGAGTTCAGATTTCTGTCCGAAAATAAATTCTTAACCTTTCCTTTTACAGATGTGGTGACTAGCTATAGGTCATGTGGTGCCTTGAAGTTTATGAAACGGCTAAATATACGTATAGGTGTGCGGGATTTACACTTGATGCACTGAATTATGTGTTTTGACTTTTTTTTTTCTTCTTAATTTACAGCATCTATACAAGGCAGCACTTGAGTGGCACCTTGATTTCTTTTTAATAGCAATCTGTTAAATGCCAAATAAGCCCCCTGTGGATAATGAGCGTGTAATATTTCTTGACTTTGGATGAGTTGAGTAAGGAGCTGAAAATCACAAAATACAGCACACATGTGGGAAAACTCATTAGTAGTATCTGTCTGCATAGTACTATATGCTTTAAAGATATGTTCCAAATGAGTGCATTAAGAGATGGGGAGGAAAAAAAGGGCAGGATCAAACAGCTACTCTTTCCCGCACTGCTCGGGGGTAAGATGATGTTTTCGGTGTGAGCGTCAGCGGTGCGCTCAGCTGTCAGCAGGCACCGGGTGGTGTGAGCATGCTAGTCAGGCAGTAATCCAGCCCTGAGCTAGTCATGTGCTGCAGTCATGGGTCTGGACTGAGAGAGACAGAGGCCAGGCACATGACTCCTGAGACGCCCCTGCCACCGCTGGTATGCGCGGCTCGAGGTGAAAAAGAGCAAGAACTGCGTGTTTCTCTGTAATTTGTGGACCTTTTCTTGGGAGACGATTTAATCACATACCCGGTATAATCGATGCTCTGCTTTTGTGAGTGGGTGGGAATTAGTTTGTAATTAGTTTCTGAGAGACAGTGTGAGTCATTGTCAGCAGGTGATTTTTCCACAGCAGTTGCAGTTGGAAAAAGCTGGAGACATAAACGGCCTGAAATATCTCAATAATGTTGGGATGGATTGCCGTCTTTTTTGGAGCAGACAATCATGGTCCCCTCAGAATGAATCACAAAAACGCTGGTGACGCTGGTCAACTTTTTTCGAGTTCCAACATCAGAGTAAAGTTTGAATTTAACAAAAGAGTGAAGTAGAGAAGACAATTCTATGTTTTTTTTATTTTTGTTTTTATAACCCTCACAACCCCAAAACCTGCCAGCGGGTTTAAAAGCTACTCTTCTGTGCTGTGCTGCTCCATCTGTAAAATTAACCAAATCCAAGCTTAAAATTTTAATATTTCATCAAATTGACGTTCGTCTACACGTCTCATTGAAAAACAAAACAAAAACAGAATAAACCCCCAGTCAGATTCTGTAAACAGGAGGATTTGCTCAGCCTGTAATTTTGTCTGAAAGTTACTTGTGTAAAATTTCACCCCCTGTGCAGTTTCATGAATTGGAAAATTAGCTATAGAGGTCAAGACTGTTTGTCGTACCAGACTGTATTCATGTTTATTTCTGCTGCTACAGTTGGTCGTTTTAACCTGGGGTTCTATGGGGATTGACTCGACTTTTGTAGCAAAGCCTCAAGTGGCCGTTCAGAGAAGTGCAGTTTATGAAACCGCCCACATTGGCTTCATTCCTCCGTCCTGGAGGTTGCCACTTGGGGGGTCATTCCTGTCTTTTAATTAAGTACTGTTTATTACGGGTGAGTTTCTAGTCTCCTGATTGATTAGAACAATTTGTTTGTACAAAGTGACCAAACTGAACCCCTCCACACTAAACTCATAAACTTGCTAAACATTTGCATTGCTACGGCAGCATATTTAATGAGGTAGGTGCGTAAGAAAGGTGCAGGCTTATCAGCAATTTCCAAACAGACTCCTGCACACTACATTGCCGTCAAAACTACTAATATTAATGCTTTTCTTGCCGCTAGACCTGCATTCAGCACGCTTTAGCTCAAAGCACCACTGTACAGCCTGGCAGAGCTGCTGGAGTGGGCGTACACTCCTGTTTGAAACAGTGCTTGTAGGAGGTTATGAGCTCCTCGGGCTGCCCACTCAGCCTTGCAGGAAACAATTTTAATTACTGTAATGTTAAACCATTTCAGTTTAAGTGGCACTTGATAGTCTATTTATATACAATTTCACCTTGCTGGTATTAAGCCTCTCCGCCTCTTGTTTTCATTCCCACTCCTGTATGGTTTCTGGAGCGTCCAGCAGAGAAACAGTGATATCTCTGATTTGCTTTGTGGTGTTGCAGAGGCAGAAAGGTACACACTTTGACCGATATTAATGATGCAGGCGGAAAAATGTGTGGGATCTTGAAAAAGATATTTTTCTTGCAGCTTACAAACTGTAGTCTTTCAGTCATGCAGAAACAAGTGAAGTGTGACTCCTGAAGTGGTTGTCACTTCACCTGGCAGTCACTCAAATGAGGAAATATAGCTTCTGTTTCAGGTGATCTACTGGAGAGGACATAGAGGACTGTGGGAGTTAATAAATGAATCAGTCAGTTAGTCATTCAGTCAAGCAATCAATTGGTTATTTATTAACCATATGTTTATTAGTCAAAATCCCCCGGTACAAACTTTGTGTGCGCGTCACACTGTAGGCATGTGATGACACTAAAGAGGAAGCATCAGTCGACAAAATGTCTCCTCCGGCAGTTTCCAGTTTTATAATTCTGCATATTTAATCTCCTTTTTCATTTTCAGATCTTGTGTGCTGCACAGAAAAAGGCCACCTGTTTATAAAGAGGAGGTGATTCACTGAGTTTCTGCTCTCGATCTGTGTCTGCCACAGATGTGACACTGTCTTCACTTCTTGCTCTATAAATGTAACTGGCATTTATAGTAACTTTCCTTTTCTAGCAAGAAGCGAGGACTGTCTTGTTGTGGAAAGCCTGTTAGAGCAGAGACAGATGTTTCAAACATAGCACTAAGGCAGATGTTGAGTGCAGGTGCTGGTGAGCTGACAAACAGGAAACATGTACAGTAGCATATGTACAGTGTCTACAGGTGTGTGAAGAATAAGCCTTAACATGGATCGCTGGCTGTTTTGACATATTTGAACAATTAAACATTTGATTATTGACTATCATTACTTGAGCAACAGTTTTCTGTTAAAAACCTAAATGCACCTGTGGCATCAGAAGGTGGTGTCACCCCCGTCTTTATTATGAATAACTTCTTAGTGTTTCATATAATTGTCCGCCAGTCTCTGATATCAATTGTTGATCCCTCAGCAATGCGAAATTCCTTCAGTGGCAAGATGTGTGAGGGTTTTCTTGTAAGCATAAGCAAATCTCAGTTTCAATAGGATTCAAATCTGGGCTTTTATTTGGCCGCTCCATAAACCTCCATTTCTTTTTTTTTGTCATTTCGGGTGGATTTGTTCGTGTTCGAGTCCCGTTGAAAAGTCCACTTCCGCTTCTCGTCCAACTTTCAGACACATGACCTCACATCATCGTGAAGCACTGTGTGATTATGATTCACATTTCATAGTTGAACCAATGATAAGTTGCCCAGTCCCTGAGGCAGCAAGGCAACCCCAGACCTCTACATTTCTATCACCAAGTTTCATAGCCCGTGGGGAAAATCTTCGCTCAAAAAGTGGAAGCTATGTGACCAGGTGTCTTTGGGAGTGATGAACGTACAGAGAATCCTGAATCTGCAGCTCTGTCAGCTTTACAGAGCTTCTTCTCACAGCTCTCATAGAGTCATTTTTGGGAGCAGAAGACAGATTTTTTTATGAGCGAACAGCCTCTAAAACCCGACTGTGCTTCCCCTGATCCCCAGGCAGGTAAAAATGAGCAACTAGCTGTGACCAGTGTGAAGCATTAAGCAGCTAAAGAGCCTAAAAGACCTCTAAATCAAACATATTATTGCTCTGTACCCGATGAATCTATAAATAAAAGTCTTGGTGAACAATTTTGCCATTTTAATTCAAAAGGATATAACATATTACTGCCACTCTGGCCAGCTTGGGCTCAGCTATGTAATGGGACTCCCTGTAGACAAACACGCTCTAGAAGAATCTCACATAGTGTTGTTGCTGGCCCAGACACAACACAGGTACCCACACAGTAGTTGCTTTCTTTCCTTTACCCCCTTACTCCTCACAGCGATGGTTTGAACAGAATTCATTTACACTGTTTTAATCTTCACCTCTGTGCACGGCAGGGCTGGGCGGAGCGTGTGGTTACCTGGTGGGAGCTATGGACTGGGGTCACTCTGTGTTGGGTCGGCTGCTGGGCTCCGAGTACCAAGTCATCTACTTCTTCTCAGCGCTGACCTGGGGCATCTTCCTCACCGTGCACCTCTTCAGTATCCCTGAGCAACCTCTGGCCAAGGACCCATCTGCCTCTGACTCCTCATCTGCAAGTGCCCTCCGCCTACTGGGCTCCCACAGCAATGGTTACGGAGCACTGGTTAAGGAGCCCGTCTCTCCCACAGTCACAGCATCGCTTACAGACCTCAGGCCGAGGTCATTCTCAGCGCTGGGGGAGGCAAACTCTGTGACCTCCAGCGCCAAGCAGCCAAACAAGGAGGTATGTGATGTGCAGAAGAACCAGTTCCTTGAAGTGCAATTATTTTGTACCCTGTGTGTATTTGAGTAGAATATGTGGAATACAGAGTGGCTTTTTCATCCATCTATTATCTGCACTCCTCACCATGCTCGTGGTCGTGCACTGTGGCTGTAATGTCAGTACGTAAGTAGTTGTGAACAGAAAGCCTAGTTGCCTTTCTTGAAAGATATCAAGATGTCACATAACACCACACTACCAACAGCAGAACCTGTGTTACACACAATTTTTTATAATATGGATCTGCAATGAGTCAAAATGGTGACCTTTCGACTAGAATGAAGAGTAAGAAGTCACAGGTGGCCAAAATATGATAAGTAAGGTAGGTTGGGGAGTGCATAAGAGGCGTGTCAGAAAAGTTTCAGGACTGGTGTCACAAAAGATTTATTTCAAATCCAAACTACAAACTACGAGTTTTCCCCTTTGAAGTAGTTTGGAGTCTAACGCACTTTCCCAGCCTTCTCTGCCACGCAGCCATGCACTCCTGGAAGGATTCTTCCAGGATCCTCCGCAGCTCCGTCGTCACAGCCATCTTGATGTCGTCTACGTCTTCTAAACGGGTCCCCTTGATGACCCCCTTGAGCTTGGGGATGGGGAAAAAATCACAAGGAGCCACGACTTGTCCTGCAACAACTCCAGCCTCTTCTCACGCACTGAACGAAGCAAACGCTGCAGGATCTCTTTGCAGACGTGCTGGTTGATCGTCTGAAGGGGAAAACTTGTAGTTTGCAGTTTGGGTTTGAAATGTAGCTTTTGTTGACACCAGTTCTGGAACTTTTCTGACACACCTTGTATTGTGTTGTTGTGGCCAAAAAAAAACGCCCAAACGCCCGACACATTGGAGTCACCACCTGACATCGTGCCACAGTTCAGGTTGTTTGTGCCGAATGTTCGACAGACTAATTCTGGAGGATTAGTTCCTGATGCACAAACAGGTCAGCGTTGAATAAAACAAGTATGGTGTGCTGCTTCTCCTGATGCGCCTTGTTTGATTTTGGAAACTCAGGGCACTTTTACTTTGAAAACTGCTGTTTCGTCCATCAGTGGTAGCTGCAGACCCAGCTTTCATCAACAGTGATGATCCTTCAAATGAAGGTTGCATCATCCTGGGCTCATGTTTAAGGTTCACGGAGATATCGCAATTGTGCACCTACCAGGGGTCACAAAAATGTGTGTAACACAGGCCTGGCACAGGTTCATAGCATCAAGCGCAGTCTTGGAACTTTTTTGCTCAACCTGCATATTTTGGTTGTGGACAAAGTTGTGCTGCTAATTTGGCCATAAAACTAGACTAACTTTGCTGTGTTGCTCTTCACAGAATATTGAGTGTTTTTCAGTTTAAATGATTAATCATTCTAAGCTCAACAGAGAAAAAGTCTTTAAATCATCCTCTGAATGGAATGTATCGTTGGGAGAATGCATTCAAAGCAACATAAAATGTGAAATGATTTCCTGTATTAGGAGGACATCATTCACTGTACGTCTCTGTTTCCTTTCAAATCGGCCTTTTCTGTCTTTAATCATGTCCAGTCAGTGATCCTTGAGCAGACTCCTTAATTTGAGTCCTCAGAGATCTTTATGCTCAATCCCTTTTCGTGCAGACATGTTTTCATAATTGCTGAATCTTTTGAAGTGTCGTGGGCTAAAGCACCACTAACGGCCAGGAGAGTAATGAGTGCTATGAGAGGAAACCTTTGCTGTCAGCGTTGTAGCTGCTGTGTGTCTGTGTGAATGTGCAGGCACAGAAGAGGATGACATTCAGGTCGCTGATGAAAGCCATCGTTGACATGCCGAGCCACTACCGCTGCCTGTGTGTCAGCCACCTGCTGGGATGGACAGCTTTCCTCTGCAATATGCTCTTCTTCACCGATTTCATGGGACAGGTATTGATTTATGTGTCTCTGCATATGGACTCTCAACATGTCGTCTTGAGTCCTTGAACTTTAATGTTACAGCCAGGACCATATAAATGAATCGGTTCTACAACTGTTGTTGTTCCCCATCACTGCTTTCTTACATGCTACTTGTGGTGATCTTAACTGCAGCATACTTGCCAACTGATGCTGAAAGATTTTTATATTGATAAGTAATTCAATTATTTCCAAATAAATGTGCAGAACCTTTGCTTTTTCTAGTTTCTCTGCCCATGTAGCATCGCAACATTACAACAGCTAGGGCTGCAAAAAAATACTGTAAAACAAAAGAAAATAGTCATCTCAGAAAAATGCAGTAATTTCCCATAATTACAATACATCTGCTAGCCCTAATAGATGGATGGATGGATGGATGGATGGATGGATGGAAGATAGATAGATAGATAGATGGATGGATGGATGGATGGATGGATGGATGGATGGAAGATAGATAGATAGATAGATAGATAGATAGATAGATAGA